AAGGTGAGTGTGTTGAGTGTTAAAGAAAATATTACTGAAGGTGCCAAAAAGGTCTAATATTAGCTTAGGTAGGTGCATATATGTTCTAAAAGAAATAGAAAATTGGTCCCTACCTGACAATTTAGGTTAATATATTCCTTGATTAAGTGATAGAATCTTTTAAATTGGTATTAAATTTTAATGCTGCTACGGTATCAGCTCACAACCCGGCCAAGATAAACGTTTGCATCTTCCCAAAGAAGAAAAAGGTAAAAGTAAGACTACCTAAAATAAACAACATCTAGCTAACAGAGTGTAGGGAGATAAAACACCTAGGTGTTATGCTGGACAATGCAATGATGTGGAATAAAGATGTAAGAATGCTGTTGGGAAGGCATGGGGATTAAACCTCGGATGGTCTCCTGGCTGTATGTCACAGCGGTTAGACCTGTGCTTTTATATTCAACTGTTGTATGGTGGCATAGGGCAAGAGTAGGCCACTACAGGACACAATTGGAAAAATTACAGAGATTAGCCTGTTTAATGATAACGGGTGCAATGAAAACTACTCCGACTGCAGCCATGGAAGTACTGTTAGCTCTATTATCTCTGCAATTGGAGATTAAAAAGCAGGCATTGAAAATTTTTTACAGGCTACAAAAATTAAACTTATGTTCAAAGATAAATACCCTGGAGGGATATTGGGAAATAGTTCAAAAAATTGAGGCGGACAGGTTGCTCACAATGCATTCTGACACTCAAACATTCCTATAGCTCCTGAACCCATCTGTGGAATTAATCAATGTCTATTAAAAAACAGAATCGGAGAGATTTATGGTGCTAAAGCTAAAAAGAAATGGTACTTGAGAAAACAGACTCACTCTAGATTGTTGCTAGAAGGAATCTGTCAAAAAAGAAGTAACCTACTAATTAATCTGAGCAGGAGCTCACTTAAGAAAATTACAGTGGTATATACTGGACACTGCAAACTGGTTATCATATGTTCAATCGCTGGATCATGGAGTCGTCTCTTAGTAGGTAATAATACAGTTCCCAACATACTGTGGCCAGGAAGATGAAACGGCTTATCATATTACTTGTTGGTGCAACAGATTTGCTGGACTAAGATTGAGATTATTCAGCATTGATAGGATGATTGATCCCATGGCAAACGAGTTCATCAATCCAACAATCTTACTACAGTTCATTGAAACCACAGGAATTACGCTTTAAACAGGAGTGACTTTAATAGAGGTGTACAATAGGCCTACATGGCCGCAGTGCACTCATGCCGCTTTAAAAAAAAAAAAAAAAAAACAGCTCACAAGGATTTATAAAGGTCTGTTCAACAAAAATATGAATCCCACACACATTTATAAGCAGACTGTGAGAACTGAGCTCTCAATGCGACTGCCGTAAAAACACACACACTATAAGCAAGCTATAAACATATTTTTTGCAATTGCAGTTTTATTTCTGGAAATTTTTAGTACTCGGTATAAAAGTAGATACTTTATACCAAGGGTCAAATGAAACAGTTAACTCTTATAATTAAAAATAAAAATTTTAATTTTAATTATATATGTAGACGTATAAAAGTTTTTGTTAAACTTTTACTTTATATGATACATGCCATTTCAAAACTTTTATTTTCAAACCTCATTAATAAAAGTATTTATAAACCATTTTCTTGAATAGGTTTTAATGAAAAAAGTAATACACTTTTACGTTTTTATTAACAGAAAATATAATCATCAGTATTTGTACATAGCTACATAAAACATGATAATTTTAATTATTAGCAGTGGAGTAATAATTATGAACTTCTATTATAATTTATAATTTTCGGTACTGATAACGGCACTTAACAATCCAGTCGACATGGACTACTATCTGCCAATGTTTATAACCTGAACACTGATAATTCTTATAAGCCCTATCTTCGTATGAAATTTAAAAACAAATGTAATAATAACAAAACACTTTTATTTTACAACATATATATGAAATAGACAAAAACAAAGGTCATATTCATCAAAGTTGAAATAGACGAAAAGAAATGTAAGAATAACAAAACTCTTTGATTTGAAATTGAAATAGACAAAAACAAATATAATAATAATATAACAAAAAGAAATATAGTAATAAGAAATATAATCATTTCACCATATATCATATATATACATTTCAACAATAAACTATCTACAGATATCCAACAATAATAACCAATGCAATAACTCACACGCAACAGCTTACACGAGGTAAAAAGGCAGGTTATGTGACGTAAGATAAGATAAGAAGGAAGGTTTACTGCCAACTGGATTGTTCACAAGTACCCTGATAACTACTATCTTAGAGTGAATAAGTAAAAGTTTAACAAATGCTTTTTTATGACATTTATATATGTAATAAAAAATTAGAAACTTTTTTAAACTAGAACTTTTATTTAACAATTTTGAAAAAAAATTTCCCTTTAACCTCTTATTGATAAAACTTCTTTTCAAACAGTTAAAGTTGAACTCATTTGTAAAATAAAATAACTGTTTAAACCTCTGCTTTATACAGAAAGGTCTACAGATATAAAAAGATACTTTTGTTTTCTACAAAAAATAAAATTATTATTTGTGAAATAGTGATTTTATATACATATGTATATAAGGGGTACATGTATATGTAATATACATAGGTATATATATAAGGGGCCGGGATAGCCATACAGGCTGAGGCTGCAATAGGTAATCAAAGTTAAGCAACGTCAAGCGTGGTCAGTACTTAGATGGGTGACCGCCTGGTTTGAGTGACCGTCCACCAGGGAAGGACACGCTGCCCGAGATTCCTTCCTCTCTCCCATGGGTATATGAAACATGTCATCCTACTAGAGGCAACTCATATAACGGAATCCATATTGGATCATGGAATGTTTGGAGCTTATACAGACCATGGGCCGCCCAAATGGTAGTTAGTGAAGTAAGTAGGTACAAAATACCACTAACAGCCATTCAAGAGGCAAGGTGGCCAGATGGTTGTGAAACCACTATTGACAGCCACACACTGTTCTACACCGGGAGAAACAATAAAAATGGGACAGTTGGCACTGGATTTATAGTTAGTCAGGCCGCAAGGAAATCAGTAAACTTCACTCCAGTCAATGAAAGGATAAGTGTGCTGTCTTAATGAAAGTAAGAGGTTGTGCATTTAATATCAGAATTATGAATGGGTATGCAACAACTGAAGAAAAAGAGAATGGGGTGAAGGACAATTTATATGATCAATCAGAAAAAGTTGCAGACCAGGCTCCAAAACAAAACATAAAATTAGTCATGGGAGACTTCAATGCCAAGATAGGAGGAGAAACCCAATTTAAGCCCATCATCGGAGTCAAAGTCTCCACGAAACCTTGGTAAGTGGTAAATACATACATAAGTACACCTGGGGAAGTGGACTCAGGAGACTTCAAAACATGTATTTCCATTGAAAACTCAGATTCAAATGTTCATGAACGCAATATTTTGCTTACTATATATTACATATATAGATAAGTGAAAGTAAAAACACAAAACTTAAATTTCCTCCTTTTCTGTCAGAAATCAGACCAATGTTTATATAAAGTTTTTTGTACCTCTTGAGGTCAGCTATCACTCCTATAAATATTTCCCTATACTTATTGGACATTCTGTATATATATATATATATATATATATATATATATATATATATATATATATATATTTGTGTAGTTTGAATTTAGATTTTCCATGAGTGGTGATACGTAGAAGAGAGGAAAGGTAGTGGGAGTTACCCACAAGATATGTTAGTTGTGGTTTGGCCTAAGGTCAAGATAGTCAATCCCTGGCTTGGGCCAATACAGACATTTTTATACCAAGCAACTAGCCTTCAGAGTTCAGTTCTAGCTAAGCTCAAGATTAGACATGGTTCCCGGCCGATACAGTACAGTCTGCTTCCTGTAGCCTATGGAAAAGATCCATTTGAATATTAAGAATCACAATTTACTTATGCTCAACCAACAGTTGTTTGGAAAATAACTTTCAAGACTTTTACCAAGAAACCAAATGAATATTATATTATTATTTATTTTTTTATATTAATTTGATATAATAAAATTATTTATTACAATTTTAATTTAAAAATATATATTTATGTGTAACAACACTATTTATTAGATTCCAAAATATTCAGTTACCAAATCTATAAGCCTTCAGAACAAATTTTAAAAATCAATTATAATAAAAATATCGCAACAACACACAAGCACGCACACACACACACACACACACACGCCGAATCTAGTAGGCCTAAAGAGTGCCTAGAATGTTTCTTGCGGCTGTTATACCTTCGATTATTTTATACGGAGCTTGAATTTGAAAAGAAGCAATGCTCACAGAATTATATAGGAGACAGATGGTCTCAATGTATCACAGAATTTTATTAAATGTAGCTAGGGTATTCCTGACTGTATCCTATGAAGTACCATGTATAACAGTTAGAATGCTTCCTGCTGAACTGCTAGTTGATGAGAAAAACAGATCCTATAGTAGAATTTCTACAGTCTCAAGGGAAGATAAACGAAAAATAACTGATGGCAACAGTAATGGGATACTGCTAATAATCGAAGATGGAAATACAGATCAGTGTCCGATATTAGCTCATGATAAGGTGGAGTTCTATGTAACCTAACTGTTGACTGGAAATGGACCTTTTAGGGCATATCAATACCAGTTCAAATTGGATAACACCTCCACATGCCCAGCATGTATTGCAATCGAAGAAATGGTAGAACACGTGTTATTTTAATGCACCTGCTTCGAAAAGTAAAGCAAAGAATTGTAGGATTTGTATGGAGTGAATATCACTCCTGATAATCTGGAAAAACATATGTTGCAAATAGATGAACATTGGGAAGACTTGAAGAAATTCGCCACAGTTGTCCTGAGGAAATTGAGAACAGAAGAAAGAATCAGGAGAGGCCTTCAGCCAGAAGATAGATAATATCTCATGGCGATTAAATGGGCATAAAATAATGAGACAGCACATTGCCATTCTCCTCTATGATGTAATGTCTAATGGCGGTTCCATGAAGGGAAATAAACAGGTGAAGGGAGGTTGGTTTTAGTGGATAAGAATCCCACACGCGAATATTCATGTCTTTTGAAGATAAACATATAAATGTATACATGTGTGTGTGTAAACCTTTTATTCAGTGCAACCATCAACATTTTGTTAAAATAAATGTTCGTTTATCTTCACTTAAAAATATTTATATATATTTCAGTTGTGTGTGAACGCATTTGCAGATGCACATGTTTATGTTAGAGTGTAAATATTTATACACTTTAAAGAGACATTGTTCATGTAAATGTAATTAAAAATTGTATCAATAGATGAATACTAATGTTCATATCACATTAATAGAAATTCATCCCACTTACTACTTCCCTTTGAATAAATTAAAGAAGAGAGAGCAGCCTATCATTTTAAATTTTATTATAGCTATTCATTAACATGTTCATGCTGGTATCACCGGTTGCTCGCACAAGACTGCCTTATCATGCGGCGCGTACAACGGGTGGCTCGTATTTGATTGTGCTATCAGGCGGAGCATAACAACAAAAATTTAATACGTTAAGTAACTAGAAAACATTTTTAAATAGCTACCAATTAAAAACATCAAAAATGTATCATATACATAATTTTAATTTGATAATATCAACATAACTTTAATTCAATAACATAAAGAACGGCTATCCTTGTGATAAATTTTCTTTTTATGCTTTAGTTCTGGCACGTCCCATAGAATGAAGAGCTTAAAGTGTAGCTGCCCTGTCTTTAGGAGAAAAACATGAATTGCAGTGCCAGTGTGAACATGCTAATGAAGGATATAATTTAAAATCATTTCTATAATTACAAAACAATAAAATAGAAATGCTTACTGTTAAGATTTCCAATAAAGAGTATTTTGGTACCAAAGTGGATTCGTTAGGGGTTCCAATAAATAACACCAAGCTAGTAAGCCAACTATACACAAAAATAAAGTTGTACTACGCTTTGGTTCATCATAAGCAAATACTTCTCTGAAATTGGGGAAACCCATATGATTACAAAATGCATGAGCCAAAAATGGCGCAACAAAATGACCAGTCCTTAGGAATAGCAATGCAGAATAAGCACCAAACATAGTCGTATATAAAAACTGGAAAACTGAAAAAAAAAATATATATATATATATTATATAAATTATGTCATCAAAGAATAATAATAAGTTAACTATGACTTATTGAAACAAAAAGTAATGAGAACATAGCATTGCATAAAATTATTTTATGATCTAAATATTAAAAATAATAAATTTAAAAAGTTAGTTGATTTCAAACTTATTGTGTACTAGTTTGTTCCATAGGGTCAGCTCTAGATATAAAATTGAGCGTAAAGGACCTGGACTTTGTTGAAAGAAAAAGGACCAGAAGAGAGAAACCTCGGCCACCACCCATCATCGTGCGGTTCGTCTACCAGACGGTTCACGAGGTCATTTGTCTACATAAAATTAAAAGATCCTTTTAACAAGACATCTGGCAGGTACTCTGACAAAGGAATCTAAGTAAGTGAGGAGATAAGTAATGGCAACAAGCATCTCTGCTGGTTGGCAAGGCAGATAAGGGCGGCAAGAAAGCTGAAATACGTTTGGTTTTGGTTTGGAGGAATAATTCAATACCAAAAAGAGGATGGCTCCCCTGTCAATATCATTTACAAAAAGGAAGATATAGAAGCGATGGAATGAAAGAGGTCACAGTGTTCCCCCCAATCCTTTTTTTTTACTTTTATACTCTTACAGATTGTTATTTTACTTTTTTATAATTATTTTGAAAAGTAGAATCTAATTATTTTATATAGAATTAAATCATATTTCTTTCTATGCTCATTCCTGCTTACAATTGTTGATTAAAATTTACATTTATTTTTCTATTATACTATTTTCTTTATTTTGCAACATACTTACTAAAAATGTATCTCTTCCTTTATTCTTAATTATGTTATGTCTCAACCCACTGTTTGTCCTTTATTTAATTCCTTCATGACTAATACCTTAATATCCTGCCACATTAACTCCCAATCCCTTCCACCACATTATGAAGAATTCCTTGATTATTTTCACCATAATTTCTACCATATCATTGCTGTATCTGAAACTTGGCTCAAACTTTATATCCTCTCACCATCAATTTCCTAACCTGACTATACCCACTTTTTTCATGATCAGATGGATCGAACCGGAGGCGGTCTGTTCGTTTATGATGGTTTGAGGGCTAAAATCCAATTGAAATATCCTTCTTCCGACATCCAGCACATTGAATATCTATTTGTCCAAGTTTCCTCTAGAATCTTTTCTCTATTCTACATCGTTATACTATCGTCAAATCTCTACGAAAACTCACACAAATATCCTTACCCCACGCCAATACCTTTGAAAATCATCAAACTCTCCCTCCCAACCTTACTTCTTTACTTTTACACATCTACAATTTTTCCCTCTAAAATTTGGTTTTTCCTAAAGCCTGGAAAAAAAGTCATCGTCCAGCCACTGAACAAAGTTCCCGTTCCTTCATCAGCTTCCGACTTCAGACCCATTTCCGTTTTATCCAAGCCTCTAGAAAGATTAGTTCACTCTCAGTTGAATAACTTTCTCGAGCAAAACCATCTCCTCAATCCTTTATAATTCGGTTTTCGTTCCCAATACTCCACCCAATCTGCGTTGTTAAAGATTGTCCAAGACCTCTAATCATCCATAGATAAACAGAAAATCTCTATCCTAGTCCTTTTCAAAAGCCTTTGATTCTGTCAATAATATCATCCTTTCCAAACTCCAAAGCCTGCCTATATCGAACAGCGCTCTAAAATGGTTCCTCTCCTTTTTATCCTATTGCTCCGACAGTTGTTATTCCGAACAAATCCCCTTCATCCCTTCAATTACCACGAGGTGTTCCTCAGGGCTCCTCACTTTCTCCGATCCTTTTCTCCATTTATATTAGCGACCTTCCTGACTCCATACATCCCTCCTGCTATCACTTATATGCAGATGATTTCCAAATTTACCTATTGTTCCAACCTTCTGAGATGCCTGACGTTACCAGAAAACTGCAAGAGGATATTGACTGTATCCACAGATAAAACTAAGGCAATCCGCATCGGTTCCAGACACCTCATTAGTTCTCTTCCTTTCTCTCCTTTACTTTAACTGAATAACTGACCCATCCATTTCTTTCCGACAGTCAAAAACCTCGGAGTAATCTTTGATCAGAACATCTGGAATAATCACATTTCCCAGATTACAAAAAAATCTATAACTATCCTCAAACAATTCCTACGATCCCGTGGTTCTATTCCTAAAAAAAAAAAAAAAAAAAGCTCCTTATAACATCCCTTGTTTTCCCCCACTTTGACTTCTATTAAAAAAAAAAAATCATAAATTGTTCATGATTTTTTTTCATCAGCATCCGACTATACCACAGATACCCCACTTTTATAAAAACTTCTTCATTTAATAAGCTTTAAGGCCATATTAATTAATTAGAGGTTTATTCAGGAAAAACTTGAGATTCACTTGAAGTTGTGTACAAAAATGATGTGATTTTTTATCCTGTCAAGTAAAAGTACCCCTGTTTTCAATAAAAATGACTACAATTAATTTTTGCAAACCTTTTATTTCTTTTTTTCCCTTATCTGGGGAGAATTATAATAAGTTCAATTGCCTAATTTTGACCGACACATTTTATTTATAAAAAAATTAATTTTAAAAATACTGATTTTTAAAATATTTTTCAGGGTAAATTGGTTATAAACTGTGTTTTTCACCCAGATCTATATTATAAGAATTTATGCATATTTATAAGGATCAAACTAAATGTTCCTGATCCTAATATTAATGTTTTCATAAAAATAATTGAAGCAATCAGCAGGTTTCTTTATTTTAAACATAAAGAAAGTGAAGAGACTCATGAATTGCTTTTTAAGATTCATCTTTGGGATCTCCAGGCGTCTTACCTATCTCCATACCTCAAACCACGTCCGCAAATTCCTTTAAACAACTCCTATTCCACTATCTGCTACACATTCAAACTTCGGCAAGCTTGTATGAATTTCTAGGTTTGTAATTACAATTGCTCACCAACAGTTAATTGATAAGAGTCATTTTATTTTTACTTACTTTTTCTTAGTATTTTTTGAATATAGTGTGAACACACCAATTATGGACAGGGGACTGTAATTATTATAGCTATAAACTTCTCTGTTGGACATTTAGAATTTATTGGGTCTTCTTTTTCTGTTTAACACTTAAAATAAAAAAAATATTCAGTTATGCAGTTATAATCTCCATTTAAAAAAAAATCTTTTTGCACTAGTGATGGACACCCCGAAATTCAATTGTTCTATTAATGGACAGAGGGTCAGTACCAGTAATGGACATACCTCAGAAAAATTCTAAAATATTTATTTAACTATAAAGATAAGATAACATAAATGTTCAACGTACTCTTAGCAAAACTGATAGTAGGAAGGTATAAAACACACTGATCTCAAGAGCACTATATAAACAACAATGATTGTTAACGACACAGCGTTAATTTATTTTATTTTTACAGTTAAAAATGCCACAGCATTAATTCAATTTATTTTACACTTAACTAGTTTGATTAATTGTTAATTTTTTTTTATTTTAGCAAAGTGAAATCAATTAATAATATGTATATTTATGTATAAGATAGGTGCATATTAAGTATTATAGGCCCGTAGCTTATATTGTTTATATTATATAGATCAATAGGTTATACTTGGACTACTTGTTATGGATTTTAGCCCTAGCTATAAACAAGTCCTAGGTCCAAGTCCTAAGCCCGTAGACTTCGCATTGCACAGTCTGACTCCGTCCGCTATAGAGCTCAGGTCTGCCAACTGATGTACTGCCCACTGCGGTTTACAGTAGATGAATTCTTTCTCTCGAGCCACCATCGCCGCTGCCCACTTGCAGTTCGTTTTGAAGAGTTACAATTGGTTTCTGCATAGAGACAGAGGTTTACGAACTTCCTGCTTCGTCCACGTAACATTGTACAACTAATTATTTGATATATATATATATATATATATATATATATATATATATATATATATATAAATTTCATATTGGGACTCTAGAGAAGTTTTTTTTTTTTTTTTTATGATTAAGCATGGAAATATTTCATTAATATTGTCACAATTGTTTGTTCAGCTGGTCTTTATTTTATGCTAGAAGTTTGTTATTTTTTTTTATTTACTTATCTAACGAGTGTAAAATTGATTCATTTTGTTTTTTATGTTTTCAATAAATTTCGTAAATGTTCCAAAATAAATGTTTGAAGATACAGTCCACTTTCATTCTTTCTTTCTTTTTTTATCATAATTTATTAAATTACTATTAAATAGTTAGGCTTCGTCTTTTGGGAACTTTATTCATACAGTTGTCAATAGAGGGCATTGTTCTTCAATCTAGAAAAAACTGGAACCTTTAAATCAACAAGGAAGCTTATTATTTACATTTAAAGTCCAACCTGACCATCACTGGGCGGGATCTGTTATCTTATCTTTATAGTTAAATAAATATTTTAGAATTTTTCTGAGGTATGTCCATTACTAGAACAATTGAATTTCGGAGTGTCCATTACTAGTGCAAAAAGATTTTTTTTTTTTAAATGGAGATTATAACTGCATAACTGAATATTTTTTTTATTTTAAGTGTTAAATAGAAAAAGAAGACCCAAGAAATTCTAAATGTCCAACAGAGAAGTTTATAGCTATAATAATTACGGTGGCATAAGCTAAGAAAGACAAAACTTTCCTTAGCTATGTTAATCACTGGTGTGTTTACCTTAGTTGTATTTTTCTTAGTATTTTTTGTATATAGTTGTATTTTTTTATATATTTGTATTATATCTACATGCCAGACTGATGTATATATTTTTTGAACTCTGTTATTATTCTAAGGTGACTTCAGTCCCAGAATAAAATTAGTTTTCATTTCATATTGAACCCAAAGTTAGCAATATTATCAAGAGAATGATCAGTCAAGGGTACTGGATAGTGTATATCGCCAATGCAGTTGATATTTCCCAGATCGCAGTCTCCCGAGCTTTGACCAGATTAAAAAAAAAAAAAGTACCAATAGGAGACCT